TTCTTCACACTGCTCGCGACAAAGTCAAAGAGATCCGCTGCATCACCCTGCAACGCCTGTTGCGGAATCACAAACTTGGAGTCCGTACGGCTCACCACTCTCCCATCCTTGCACGACACACGCAGCACACGGAAGTTCGTTCCCCCGAGGTCCAGCGCGTAGAAGGCGCCCGTCGCCTTGCTGGGATCCGCCTTGAACACGTACGACGGGAGCATTCGCAGGGTGCTCTCGCGGCCCTCAAGCCCCTCGATCATCTCGTGGATCATGTACATCGTCAGCTGCTTGAGGTGGTCCTTGCTCACCGTGAACTGGCTCGCGAGGGACGCCATCGCCATGCGCTGCTTCACGTGCCGCATCGTGTCGCTGTCGTTGTCCTTCACAGCGATGTGCTGCAGCAGGTTGTTCAGGCGCGTCGCCATGTCTGTTAACTTTCCGGGTTGTAATGGTCTGAAATAAAGTTTGTGCTAAAAGTGGTTAATTGGAATTTTGTTGATCTGGTGTTGTTAGGTAGAGTTTCAATAATAAAGAGCAGCAAAAACAAAAGGACAACGCAGCGTTAATGGGGGTGGTGGTTGTGACTGGGAAAAAGAGAAGTCGTATTCACAACAATAATGGACCTGAATAATGTTTTGTGTCGGGTTGCGTTTCGTGTAATCAATGAGGGAAGGTGGATGTTGTATGGAGGGGAGTCATGGAAGGTGCTGCTGCATGGCGTCCTGAAATGCCTTTTGTGTTTTGTGCACCGTCGCCGCTGACGCGCGTCCCACACCCTGTTTTTTGTTCCGCAGTGGGGACAAGTCAACGTGACTTCGACTGCGCAGCAGCTGCAGTTGAGGCTGACAAGAGAGACATGTGAAAAGTGCCAGGGCCCCGTACAGAGGCTGCAGCTCGGCGTCGTGGGTGGTGTAGCCACTGACAGTGCTGTTCAAAACTGTGGAGTGTGGCGCCATGCGGAGTCGCTCCACGAGTGGCTGTAGGTGGAGCGATGCGCTTGGTGCTGGCCCCTCTGCCGCGGTTGATTCCATTCGCAGCTCGCCACTCAGACGCTCGCGCAGCTGCGGAAACCCTGAAGTGCCGCCAAACGCAACGATGTGGCGGAGGAGTGCAGAGTGCAGGGTGGGGGCGTCCCGCAGCGTCCCTCGGCTGCGTGTCCCATGCACAATCGCGTCGACGACGCCCATCTGTTGAATGCCAACATTCACCGGGTGAAAAAGCAGCTCTGGAATGAGGAAGGCCTCATGACTGAAGACAATGTGCTGCAGCTCATGCCGTTCAACACCTGTCCCCCCATCGCCGCCCAGAATCGCATGCAGCTCCTCCTCACGACATCCCAGCGGCATGAGTGGCGGCACCGTTGGCAAATAATACCGCAATTCCACAGCGTCACCGCCACTGCCCTTCCGAGTACTGCCGCTGATGTTTCTCCCGCGTCGCTTTTGCCGATGTGCAGCCCGCAAAGATGACTGTGGATGCAGCGCCACGTGACAACACTTCTCCATGATGTGGTTTACAAGCCACCCGTCCTCTGTCATGTTCACCTGCGTGAAGGAGATGAGTTCCTTCAGTCGATTCGAGAGTAGTTTGCCGCCAACATCAACCCGCACGGCAGAGTCCCGCATTGGGAGAAAGTCGACGTACGGGACCACGGTTGTAGCGGAGAAACCAAAGTCCACCACCACTCCGCAGCCGCTAGCCATCCCTTCACCACCGTGGGGGGTGTCAGGCCCGGCGCCATGCAGCCAGTCTCGTGAGGCATCGGCCACAAGTGCGAGGAACGTGGCGCTCACGAGTGTCACAGCCCGAAACTTAAAACGCTGTGCCACTAGGTAGTACAGTAGCTCCACCACCAGCTTTGGGGCGGCAAAGGGCACCGTAAGCACGAGTTCCACGGCACTTTCATCCGCGATGGCGAAGCACTGCAGCAGGTACTCCCAAATATGGCTCTGCAGCGCGGCATCCACCACGAAGCCGCGGTCGACAGGGCGGCGCAGCATGAAGCCGTGGAAGTGCGGCAGCTTGAAGAGCTGCTCGCCAACAATGCCGCGCCCGGCGAATGATGCGGCGCCCACACAGTTTGGCACCACTGCCTGTCGCGGTGGATGCGATGCGGTGTTGCTAGGATTTGGGATGTAAAGCGCCTTCAGCGTGTAGCCGCCATTGTCAATGATGAGCACCGGCCGGTCCTCAGTCATCTCCCCACACCTGTTGCCCTGTTTTCTTTTTTGTTTGTTTGCGTGTTTGTGTTGCCCCTCTCTCTTCTTCTTTTTGGCCGGCACGCCCGTGGAGGTGCGTGTGTGTAGCGGGCTGCGTCGACTGCAGCTATATGAGACAAATACAGGAGACGAGGAGGCGCAGCCCAGCAGAGTGAAGACACACCCACCACCACCGCCAACCACATCGCTGCGCACGCACACACCCGTCGTCCCCGCGACAGTACACGACAAAAGGAAGAAGAAGCGGGAGAACGCCACCACCACCACAGTCAGATACACGCGCGCGCGCCGCGTCACAGAGGCAATACAGAGAAGAAGGGATATAAAAATAAAGGAGCAAAAAACAAATGTGTTTTCAAAAAGCACTCATGCCGGTGATGGCGCGCCCCAAAGCGAGTCCATGGATGTCGTACGTGCCTTCGGACGTCAATACAGTCTCGAGGTTGCACACGTGCCGCATGACGTGGTATTCATCCGCAATGCCGTTCTCACCCAAAATGTCTCGCATTGCCCGCGCAACTTCTATGGCCTTACGCGTGTTGTTGCGTTTCAACATGGATATCACCTGGTGAGACAGCTTTCCTTCGTCCTTCAACCGCCCCGCACGCAGGCAACTTTGCGTCCCCAGCGTAATCTCCGTCACTGCATCCGCCAACTTAGCCTGCACAAGCTGCGTGGACGCGAGTGGCTTGCCAAACTGTTTGCGTTCCAGACTGTAGTCCCGCGATATGTTAAAACATGTCTCAGCGGCACCTAGCACCCCCCACGCGACGCCATACCGGGCGCTGCTGAGACAGTCAAAGAGGGCCTTCAGACCGGTGGCGTGCAGTAAGGCGTTCTCCTCCGGCACAATGCAGTTGTCCAGCTCAATCATGCCGATGCAGCTGGTACGCAGGGAGAGTTTGCCCTCAATTTGCTCCGTAAGAAACCCCTCAAAGTTTCGCTCCACGATAAACCCTGCAATATCATTTGTGTCGTTAACTTTTGCCCACACGACGGCAACGTCGGCAAGCGGTGCGGAGGTGATCCACATCTTGCGCCCCCTGAGGCTGTACCCCCCCGCCACCTTCCGCGCCCGTGTCGTCATAGACATCGGGTCCAGCCCCGCGTTCAGCTCCGTGAGCCCGAAACAGCCAATAAGTTCCCCACTCGCCAGCTTCGGCAAAAACCGTTCCTTCTGTGCATCGCTTCCAAAGGCGTAAATCGAGTGCATCACAAGGGAGGACTGCACAGACCAGGCCGAGCGGTAACCGCTGTCGATGGCCTCAATCTCACGCGAGATGAGGCCTGCGGCGACGGAGCTGGCGCCAGCGCAGCCGTAGCCGTCAATGGTAGGCCCCAGCAACCCCAATGCCCCCAGCTCACGGAAAATTTCACGGTCCTCGCGCTCGTTGCGGTAGGCGTCTATCACACGTGGGAAGAGGTTTTTCTTGCAGAACTCCCGCACCACGCGCTGAATCTCCACCTCACTGTTTGACAGCTGCTCATTCATCAGCAGCGGGTCGCCGTCGACGTAGGCGGCGTAGCAGGGCAAGCGTGAGCCGTGGCAGCTGGCGCCAATGACACTGGGCCTCTTGCAGAAGAAGCGGGGGAACATCGAACTAAAGCAGACCGCGCAAACATACCTAACAAATAATAATAAAAACTCAACAGACTGAAGACAAATGTGTGCATGTGCGTCACGCACGGGCTACAGCCAACTAGAGCCACAACCTTATTCGTGCACAGCCGTCACTCCTCCCACACCCTCTCTTTCTCTCACAGACACAGACAGAAGCGCCGCTGTTCTTTGTTTTTGTTTTGTTTTTCATTATCTTCTTTGCTTCACCTTGCAACATATACATCCCACAAAACCCTCGCCTCACTGTGCCGCCTGCGTCATCGCTTTTTCTTCTTGTTGCTTCATCTCCCTCTCTCTCTCCCGCTCCGCTACAGGCAACTGAGGTGAGGTGCACCCCGTTTCTCGTTGGCTTTCGGCGTTCCCCTCAATGTTCAATCTCCTCATGGGTGCCCGCAAAAAGCATGCGCGCAAACTCGTCTATGTTGACGTGGTGTTCCTCGTCCGCGTAGACGTCAGCGATGACCTCGTCCACCTGCTCCAGCGGCAGCCGGGCGCCTAAGTTCAACAGGATATGACGCAGTTCGGCGGTGGTAATGAATCCATCGCTGTCGGTGTCGAGCACTCGGAGAGCCTCTCGCACATCCACCCGTGTGGTCACATGCTTCTGCATGTTCTCGGCGGTCTCGAGAGCCTGCGCCTTCGTGATGACGCCCGCCCCGTCGGGATCTAAGAGCCGCACCACCGCCTGCACCTCCGCCTCCGATGGACAGAAACCCCAGACGCGCAGCAGCGGCCCCAACTCGTCCGTCGTGATGAGGCCGTCGGAGTCCTTGTCGAACATAAGAAACTGCAAGGAGAAGCGCTCGTGCTGCGCCTTGCTAAGCGACATCCTGCCTCGCCCCCTCCCCTACTTACACGCGGAAAGAAAAAAGAAAGATTGATATGGTAGAGCAGAGCAGAAGAAAAAAAAAAAAAAAGTATGCAAATCCTCCGCACCCGCCACGTTGTGCGTCATCGCCCCAACATCAACAATACATCGGAGGGGTGTGCTCCAGATATCACAATTGTTTCTGTTCATTCCGCCCTCCTTCTTGCTTACCCCCCTTCGTGTTGCGCAGCCGGCTGCCCCACCCACTCCCCCATCCTCAAGCCCGCACACATCCCAATCGCTCTCTGCCACTACTACCGCCAGCGATACGGGGCAAGCAAATCAACAGCTTCCGCCACCACCCGCCGCAGCATCGCGTCGTCCTCGCCAATGGTGTCAGCTGCACAGCACAAGAGCTGCGGTATAAACTTCGATGTCATAAACATGCGGATGTCGCCCTCCCCCAAACGAATGGTGTCACTGCGAGTGAGCTCGCCACCCCGCAGACACCAGTTGGGTGCCGCTTCTTCCAGCACGCCAGGCGGCATGAGATCCCCTTGGGGACCCAGGTGTAAAATCCGCACCAGAAGGGCCACACAGAGAGACACAAAAAACGTCGACGATGTTTTCAGCAGCACGCGACGCACCACGAGGACAAGACTGCGTTGCTGCAGTGGGTCCAAAAGAGGAATAAAGCAGGCGATGGCCTCCGTGACCTCTGCAAAGAGCTCAGGTATTCGCACCGCCGAAGGGAGCGCGTCCACCAGAACAGGGTAGACACCCTCCTGCAGAAGAACCTCCCGATTCTCCGGGTAGGACGCACAACGAAGAAAAAAATGTACCGCATTGCGCTTCACCTCGACATTGCTAGAATGTGACTTCGCCACGGCTACCAGAAAACGTACCACAACGCCACACTGCGACAAGAGAACTGCTGTAGGTGCCCGTGGTACAACGTCATTCCCCGCATCATCCTTACCAGGCACATCGCCGCACGGAATGTCGACAAGAGTTGAAAACATCCACGCTCCTTCTCGCTGCATGGCGGTGCTTGATCCGTGCCTCTCGAGCGCCGCAAGTACATGACTGATGATGGCGCTCTCCAATAGTCCCTCAATATCTAACAATGCCGCCTCTGTTGCAACAGCGGCCACCTCGGCCTGCAGCTCACTCAGGCCCGCATGCTGGCGCATGACGGAGGCGAGAATCCCAAACAAGTTATCATCCTCGGTATACGGTAGTGAAGTTTTTTGCTTCTCCTTGTTCATAGTTGCGGCATCCATCAGGTGCGATGCCGCCTGCCGGTGACGTAGGAGATGACGCATAATACGCAGCGCGGCCCCCACAATTCTCGGACGTCGTGTCGCGACGCACAGGAGTGTAAGTTCTGGCACCCCGCACTGTGCCAACTGACTTGGTTCATTGAGAAATGTCGTGCCCTCCTCAACGGCCCAGTAGTACACCTGGTCGAGGCGGTCCACGATGGTCTCAATGAGCTGAAGGGCAGTGGACTCAATGAACGCACTGCCATTCTCCACGAGGGCACGCAGGGAGGCTACGTGAGCCTCCACCTCCGCCAGCACAGGTGGGTCTGGCAGGTGATCCTCCCATGCCGACGTCGCCAACAACACCCCGCTGGCGTCACAGCTGTCGTGCGTCCCAATGACAACTTCCTGCAGCTGCGAGGCCGTCATTACGAGCCACGGGTGAAGAAATAAAGTCGCAGTGGCGTTTCCGTCGGCTTCTCCAGC